TAAAGTATCACCAAAAGATGAACTCAAAATTTTTAATGGCATAAGAACAAAACTCAAATGTATGATGAAGTTGTGCAAGTAATTTTTGCATTTTTAGCTCTGAGAAAGAAATAGACTCTATTTGTATAAACCCAACTGCATGTGTTAGTTGACATTTTGGTCGCTCTTAACATTACATAATATTAATAAACTACCATTTTAGCTCAATAAATTCATCCTTCATTCATTTTCTTGTCGGCTTAGTTCCTTTATCAATCCAGGGTCACCACAGCGGAATGAACTGCCAACTTATCCAGCAAGTTTTTACGCCCTTCCAGCCGCAAACCATCTCTGGGGAAACATCCACACACACATTCACACACACACTCATTTACTACGGACAATTTAGCCTACCCAATTCACCTATACTGCATGTCTTTGGACTGTGGGGGAAACCGGAGCACCCGGAGGAAACCCACACGAAGGCAGGGAGAACATGCAAACTCCACACAGAAACGCCAACTGAGCCGCGGTTCGAACCAGCGACCCAGCGACCTTCTTGCTGTGAGGTGACAGCACTACCTACTGCATCACTGCCTCACCCGCTCAATAAATTACTAATTATTAATAGTTATTAATGTAGTAGTTGGGTTTAGGCATTAGGAGGGATTAGTACTAATATAATAACTAATGATAAGCAACGAGCCAGTATATAATAGTGGGAATATTTTGAAACTAAAGTATCACCAAAAGATGAACTCAATATTTTTTTAATGGCATAAGAACAAAACTCAAATGTATGATAAAGTTGCGAGAGAAATTTTAGTATTTCTTTGGCTCTAATAATAAAAGACTCTTAAAGAGGTTGGACCCAACGTTGGGTCAAATATGTATGAACCCAACTGTGTGGGTTATTTGACATTTTGGTTGCTCTTACTCTCACTTGCTCTTAATAATAACTTAATTTTTATCTCAATAAACTATTAATTATTAATAGTTAATAATGTAGTAGCTGGGTTTAGATATTGTGTAGGATTAGTACTGATATAATAACTGATGATAAGCAACGAGCCAGTATATAATAGTGGGAATTTTTTGGCACTAAACTATCTCCAAAAGATGAACTCAATATTTTTTAATGGCATAAGAACAAAACTCAAATTTATGGTAAAGTTGTGAGAGTGATATTTGCATTTTTTTTTTAGCTCTAAAACAGAAATTGACTCTTAAAGAGGTTGGACCCAACATTGGGTTAAATATGTATAAACCCAACTGCATGTGTTAGTTGACATTTTGGTCGCTCTTACCATTACGTAATATTAATAAACTACCATTTAAGCTCAATAAATTACCAATTATTATAAATAGTTATTATTGTGGTAGTTGGGTTTAGGCATTAGTGGGATTAGTACTAATATAATAACTAATAATAAGCAGGTAAAGAGCCAGTATTTCATAGTGGAAATCGATTTAAACTGAAGTATCAGTAAAATATGTACTGAAATTTTTTTTAATGGCATAAGAACAAAACTCAAATTAATAATAAAGTTGCGAGAGAGATTTTAGTATTTTTTGGCTCTAATAATAAAAGACTCTTAAAGAGGTTGGACCCAACGTTGGGTCAAATATGTATAAACCCAACTGCGTGGGTTATTTGACATTTTGGTTGCTCTTACTCTCACTTGCTCTTAATAATAACTTAATTTTTAGCTCAACAAACTATTAATTATTAATAGTTAATAATGTAGTAGCTGGGTTTAGATACTGTGTAGGATTAGTACTGATATAGTAACTAATGATAAGCAGTGAGCCAGTATTTCATCGTGGGAATTTTTTTAAACTAAAGTATCACCAAGATGAACTCAATATTTTTTAATGGCATAAGAACAAAACTCAGATTTATGACGAAGTTGCGAGAGAGTGTGAGAGAGTTTGAGTGTGAATGTGTGTGTGGATGTTTCCAAGAGAAGTGTTGCGGCTGGAAGGGCATCCGCTGCGTAAAAACTTGCTGGATAAGTTGGCGGTTCATTCCGCTGTGGCGACCCCGGATTAATAAAGGGACTAAGCTGACAAGAAGAATAATTTAGGTAAATCTAATATGCTAATGGCTAGTTAGCTGAACATAAATACAAATGCACACAGTTAACATGAACTATGTCGCCCCCTTGAGTCCACTATGCATTGTAATTATATGACTGGGTTGTTTTAACTCAATGTTGCGTCAAATATGTTTAAACCCAACGGCTGAGTTCAAATAGTGCAAATTAAATCCAACTGAAATATATTAAACCAACATTAGGTATGTCAATATTTGACCCAACTTTGAGTAACTACAACCGTGCATTTTTAGAGTGCACATTCAAATAACTGAATTGCAATTTTAGCTATAAAAGCATGCTGTTGCATTCAGAATTGTGTCTTTGTTTTGTATTTTATGTAAAAAATAATATAAAAAATAAGTATTTATGTTAATCTAATATGCTAATGAATAGCTAGCTGAATATAATGCATGCAATTAAAGTAAGCTCAGTCGCCCCCTTGTGTCCACTGTACATTCTAAATAAAATGCTGGGTTGTTTACCTCAATGTTAGGTCAAATATAGACATAATAAACACAGGGTTATTATAACCCAGCATTTTTTTGAGTATATTTTAGCCACCAGACAAAAGCAAAAGCATATTAATAAAAAAAAGCAGTATTAGCATCTCAACATGGGGGTTATCTTGACACAATTGTAAACATTTTATGTTGTGCATCTTAACTCACTGTATATTATTACATGCAATCCTCTATTTAATCTATAAAAAATGCAAATAGAAGTCATGATATTAGGCTATTTGTTTAATGCAAATCCTAATATAATTTGATTCTTAATTGATGAGACTCAGTCAAACATGTGCACGGTTCTTCCATTCACTATATTTCACATGCAAACATGAAAAAGCTCACGCATGTCTCTGGAATGCAGCATGTAGCATGTTTGTGCGTATGCAACAGGAAACGATCGTCACTTATCATGGATGGCCTAGTTTTTCAGATCCATTTCCGGTTCATGTGGCACCACTGTAAAAACCACTTTCACACACACACAAAAAAAACTCTCAAACGTTACATATTAATGCGAGACCTCCATACATGACCTTCAATTGGGGCCTCTCAAGAATGCTGGAGAATATTGCATTATTAAAGCTGGGGCACATAAAGAGGGCCATTGTGGTGGGGAGAGCACCCCCCCCCCCCCTAAAAATTTTGTTTCATAATGTCCACTTGCACAGGATCATTTTTCAACGTATGGAGTTGGCTTGGATTACTCCGCCGGCTGATCTTTTCCATATGCTCAGAGCCACAAGCTTAACTCTGTGACACCCTACTATAAACACCCATCAGCAAATTATGAGTTACTCCCAGTCACAATGGCTGAATTTAAAAGCTTCATCTTGTTTTCTTCATGCGTCTAAAGATAACGTGGGTTATTCAAAACATGCATTCACTCTTAAAAGAAATCAGATCTAGTGTTTATACTGGCTCGCTTAAGTTAAATAGTTTACAGTACCTATTTTAATACATGAAAAGCAAGATTAATATACCAAGTAAATGAATATCAAGTTCAAGGAAAAACAACTATCAAGTTAAACAAAGTCATGACTTATTATTAATATAAGAAGTGGCTGAAAAAATAACACACTTCAATAATTCTCACAGCCGATTGGTTAACATTTAATATAAAGTGTAAACTAATTTTAATACAGTATGCTTTGTCACAAAAAAAACCTCATTATAGATCAAGTGTTAATAGTCACAAGTAAAACATTGAACTCTTATTATGTATTCGCTATTATCGCGATCTGAAATTACCGTGCGGCTAAACCAGCGCGACAATCAATTCCGAATTCGGTGTAAACACACTGTGAATTTGGCATTTTAATGTCTAACTTCCATACTAAGACAGCACAAACGATTAAAAAAAAACTACACGTTATGAAAACTTACAGCGAAGGAAAACACACAAAGCAATCTGACAGCACATCAACTGAACCTGAATTATAGCCTACGCAGTTGCATTATGCACAGAGGCTGACATTAAAATCCACAAAGAAATACGAGCTCAGATTTGAATTATTCTTCCACATAACTGAGGCACAGCATAATCCGGAGATAAAATAAGTGTGTAAAGTGTCTATTTTGTTTTAAGTGCAAATCTCATCCTTGTCAGACACTACTTTCAGGCACTATTTCATACATGTTGACCCGTTATAGTTGGGCGCTCATCGGCGAACCACATTTGAGACTACCACAATGCACACATTCTGTTTAAAAGCATTGCTTTGCATTTCTGATCGGCTCAAAATGCGCAAAATACATACAGATCATCTTAGAAATCAGGTTGTAAGATCAACTCCGTAGTTAATAAATACAATTACGCGCTTAAGAACTAATTAATTGTTCGCTACTTCCAACACGTGCGACTACGTCACGGAGGGATGCAATTCCATCAACAAAGCAATTAGGAAACTAATTCGCATCCAGACAGCCGACAGAAGTGCTGCATGTCTCCTATAATTCACGCTGAACAAGAGGGGCTGGACGGGAGCTCTCCATCTTCCCTCGGGAAACGAGTCTTTCGCGGACTTTAGTTCAGACTATCCTCAATCCAATGCTTTGCCATATTTACAGCATCTAGCTTGCTTTTGCTTGCATGCATTAAGGCTAATGATGCGAATGCATGAGCGCAATAAAATCCTTTTTAATCCAAACTAAGTTTGGGACTGTTTTCCACCTTGCGATGATGCACTGTCCGGACAACCCGACAATCGCGCACTAAAAACTGCACGCGAAAATCACCACATGCATTGCAGCCTACACATTTTTAGCACCTCATGGGCGAATTTGCAACAGATGAAACAGTCCTGAAGTGAATGGAGCAGGTTATTTCCCATTTTAGGAAAGAGAAACTGGTGCGTAAAAGAAGATAAAGAAGAAGTAAGAGGAGGAGAAGCCAACGCATGGTGGGGTAAATTACCTTGTTGCAGTGGTAATAGTCCAGAGAGGAGAGGCTGGTGTCGGTGGGTAATGTACAGGAGCCCACGCTTGAAGGAGGTGCAGGGTAAAATCTCACATCCATCGCCCGCTCCGCTAGACTGAAGGCATGGAGAGCTGAACGCGCTTCTGTTCTCTCTCTCTCTCTCTCTCTCTCTCTCTCTCTCTCTCTCTATTGTTAACCTAAACAAAAAGCAACAGAACGGCTGAAAGAGAAAGGGGTTGAGCCTCTCTTCATGCTCTTCTCACATCCGTTCACGGGATTTCTTCTTCTCCAAACACTCGTAGTGATGCTCGCTGGACATATTTTTTATTTGTTTGTTTTGTTTATTATAATCATGCGCGGATTATGGGATTTGTTTTGATTATTAACATGCGCGGATTGTGATTAAATGCGTTTGAGCACTGAATAAAGGGGAAAATGCTTTCAATTTGTTTATATGTTAAGTGAAAAAGATGAATATCGTAAAATCAATTTGGTGTGTTTGGTTGCTGTCGGGGTGCGCTTTAAGTAGCCGTTAATGAATTTCGTTTTAATATAAATATGTAAATTACGCGTGTAAACAATACTGTATACGTGTAAACAATGCAGTGGTCGAAATGGGAACACGTTGGGTCAAATCGCATTTTTTCTGCAACTGACCTAAATAACTATAGAACTTTGAGAAAATAAGAGAAATGCGCTTTATGAGTATGTGTGTGTGTGGTTCAGCGACACACACTCCTCCATGTGAAATGTCAGGCGACCTCTGCCGATGGGAGCGGGAAGGAAAAGATGGATGAGAAATTGTGTTGAGACGGGACATTACATCAGCTGAACTGAGAACGGCTTCACAAATGAACTATTAGGACAATTAAAGAGTAAAGGTCTCTTTAAAAAAGTAAAAAAAGGTCTACTGAAGGCGATAGATAGATAGATAGATAGATAGATAGATAGATAGATAGATAGATAGACAGACAGACAGACAGACAGACAGACAGACAGACAGACAGACAGACAGACAGACAGACAGACA